TAAAACATTTTTTCTAATTAATTTCCTTTCAATGTGCATGAATTCGTGTACCAGGCTTGTAGGTGGGATTATAATGATGTACTGCCAGTGCCAGGAACTTACTGGTTTCTGTGCATTTTCTTAGAGACAGTTGCAGTCGTGCATTCACTATTGTGATGGGTTAGTTGTGCTCCCTGAAGACAGGTGCGACATTGCAGGGGTTTATCAGACTCTGCCCGGCCTTGAATCTCTGGTCTCTAATGTCACTGGTCTGTTCATCTGCAGTGCAGTCTACTTTGGTTACAATAGTTGCTTGTGACTTATCTGTGACAAGACGTTGCTTTCGACGGAGGGCAGAGCCTTCAGTCAGTAATGAGAAGCAGGCTGCCCGTGGAGCAGGATCATTTGGCGCTGATGACACCTCTGCAATGTAGTCCACATTCTCTTTCCCAAGGCCACGTGGGTGCTGCTCTGTGTATTCAGGCTGGTTAACATCAAATGTGACGCCTCCAAGTTGTGACTGGGAGCCCCCCGGCATCCTCTCTCTTGCTGTTGTTTCCTATAGAAAATTTTATTTGGACAAATGCACTTTTAGATGGCAGATATCCTTTCAAGACTCTGTTGTATTCCAAGAAACTCCTTGAATTTAAAAATTGTCAGTGTCATCTACTGGAAAGAGATATTTGGAGTCAGACAAAACCAGGTGTGGATTTGGGTCCCGTCTGCCCTGTCCTAGTTCAGATTTGTGTGTTCAACCATTCAAGCCTTCTATCTGTCCACTAGGAGTAATAATATTTTAGGGCTTATTGGTACATAGTAAATGCATAGCAAATGCTATTAAAAAACCTTAATACGTGAACTCTGAATTTTCATCCAAGGAAAACCCTTCATTATTCTGAGGTTTCTTACACAGGGTTTTCCTTATCCTTCACAGCTTCCAAGTACCTTTATTATGATGACCAACTATTTGCTTTGCCTATATGAATAGTTAAATTTTCATTACACATTTACTAAACAAGTCTCCAGATTTATTTTTAAATGTGAAGCTTGAAAGGCAACTTGTGGGGTTGAATCAAGGTACCCCTGTTCAGCAGCTGAAACAGGTGTGTCGGCAGCACTGGGAAATCTTGTTTCTACAATCCTACTGACTGGACAGCTTGCCAGGCCAGGAAACATTCTGATTTTTTGTAGAATAATAACTTTTTGCCTTGGTATGCAGAATCTTATCTTCATGTCTGGGCTCTACTCTGCTATACAAAAGGCAGTCCTTCTGTCCCATCATGTAGTTGGTTTAGACTCGCAGTGGTTCTCAACCTTCCTAATGCCGCGACCCTTCAATACAGTTCCTCATGTTGTGGTGACCCCCAACCATAAAATTATTTTCGTTGCTACTTCATAACTGTAATTTTGCTACTGTTATGAATCGTAATGTAAATATCTGATATGTGGGATGTATTTTCATTGTTCGCGACCCACAGGTTGAGAACCGCTGGAGGGTTTTAGTGCCTGCTGTGTGCCCCATGCACTGTGCCAGGTGCTGGAGATGGGCTCTCCATTTTCTAGTGTGGAGAGGGGCTGATGGGGAGGCAGGATGGGGAGGGAAGACTGTGAAGTTCAGGAGAGAGTGCTTCACTGGAATTGGGTCAGGGACGAAGGAGAGACTGAAGCAGGGAGAGGGATACTGTGCTGCAGGGTTGGGCTTGTTCCAGACATCTCTTACTGTGTAACCAGCTACGCCAAGCTGAGTGGCTTGAAACAACAATCATTTTATTTACTGATTCTGTGGGTAAGGAATTTGGACAGTATTCAGCTGGGCAATTCTTCTGTCCCACATGGTATCAACTGATGTCACTTGGTGGAAGACAGCTGATGGAATGGCTGGTCTGGAGGGTCCAACATGGCTTCACGTGCACAACTGGTACCTTAGGGTGGTTTGGAGGTGCAGCTGGGACTTCCAACTGGAGTCCCCGTGTGTGCCCTCCTCAGCATGGTGGTCCCAGGTTTCTTACATGGCAGCTCAAAGCTCCAGGAGACCCAGGCGGAAACTGCAAGCTTTTTCAGACCAGGCTTTGGAAATCTCCGACCTTCACTTCCTCCCCATCCTGGTGGTAAACAAGTCACTATGGCCTGCCCAGGTTTAAGGAGGGGGGCCTTAGACTCCCTTCTCAGTGGGATAAGTAATGGGAATTCACTTATCTTTGATTTACCACACAGTGTTCCTTGATGGGAGAGCCACTGGTGGACTTTCAGGGTAGACAGTCAGATGGAGTGGAAGGTGCATGACACATGACCAGGTGCACTTTCAGATTTGGAGGCAAAGATCAAGCAGTAGTGGATTGAAGATTCAACAAGTATTGGAAGTGGGATATTCAGTGTGAAGTACACTTCCAAGATTCTTGGCTGTGAGGAAAAGATGGAAGTGGGAGTGGTGATCAGAGTAAGACTGACAGTTGGAGGGGATTGCTTTTTTTAAATCCTCACCCAAGAATAAAGTTTTTATTGATTTTTAGATTAGATTGGAAGGGAGGGAGGGAGAAAGAGAAGGAGGGAGAGAAATTGTTGTGAGAGAGAAACATTGATCAGATGCTTCCTGTACACGCCCCGACCAGGAATGGAACTCAAAACCTAGGTATGTGCCCTGATCGGGGATTGAACCCACAACCTTTTGTTGTGCGGGATGCTGCTTCAACCAACTGAGCAATCCAGCCAGAGTGGGCTTGCTTATTTTTAACTTTGATTGTGTGCTTTGAAGATGGGTGAGGTGACCAATGTTCTGGTCTTTTCCAAATCATATTTGTGCATTTTTGTTCTACTTACTGATTAATGCTGTTGAAATTCTCTCTTGTCTTTGGTGATACAGCTTTCTCTGGTCCTCATCCTTCAGCCTGTGACTAAGCCGGGATTCTTTCTTTAAATGGTTTTATTTCCAGTATCTGTCCTTGCCTTCTTTACTTCTTTAATTTCATCTACTCTAACGATGTTAACTGCTGCTTGTATGGTGAAAGCACCCAAGTCTGTAACTTTTGTTGCCTCCTACATGCCTTCCCCTAGATGTCCCTGTAATTCCTAGTACTCTTCAATTGATGCTATCACCCTGGCCTAGGTCAGAAGCCTATATGACATCCCCTTTCTCTGTCTCTTGCTCTGTAGCTAAACAAGTCACCAAGTACTATTGATTTTTGCCATTAAAACCAAGGTTCTTGTCTGTGGCTGCAAGCAAGCATCACCTGTGGCCTTTTACACTGTGCACACCTGGAGCCCTGTCCCAGAAATACTGAATCAGAATCTCCTGAGACTCAGGCATTCCTATTTTTATAAAGCGTCCCTGGTGATTATGATGTTCTCCTACCATTGAGAACACTCTAAATTTTTTCTCATTTCCACCATCACTGCGTCGGGTTAGGCCTGTAGAGTTTCCTGTAGCTGCCACAACAAATTACCACCAACATGGTGGCTTAAAATACTGATTTATTCTCTCACTGTTTTGGAGGCCTCATGTCTAGGATCCAGGTGTTGGCAGGACTGTGCTGCCTCTGATGGCCTTAGGGGAGGAGCCCTCTTTGCCTCCTCCTGCCCTGATGGCTCCAGGCATTCCTTGGCTTGTGACTGCCAACTCCAGTCTCTGCCTCCATCTTCACACAGTTTTCTCCTCCCTCTCCCTGTGTGTGTCTCCACTGTGTGTCTCTCATAAAGACATTTGTCTTTGGATTTAGGGCCCACCTGTAATCCAGGATGGTCTCATTCTGGGATCCGTCTTTTAACTGCATCTGCAAAGACTATTTTTTCCAGATAAGGTCACATTCACATGTCTGGGACATGGACATAAGTCTTTTTGGAAGCTACTATTCAGGCTACTGTACTGCTCCTGTGGCTATGATAGCTCTCCCCACCTGATCATCTGGACGCTAATTGTCTGCACTGGGCTGGAGCTACTTTATACAGCAGTCTTTGAATACTGTTGTTCAACAGAGTCATCTATCTATTCTATATAATAAAGAGGTAATATGCAAATTGACCCTTACTCTGTCACGCCGTCACAAGATGGCTGCGCCCACAGCAGAGGAAGGGTTCCCATAACACAAGATGGCTACGCCCACAGCAGAGGCGGGGTCCCCAAAATGAGCCATAACGAGTGATGAGCAGGGACCTGAGGCTGCGTGTTGCTGGGTCGGGACAGGGGACCTCAGGCCGCGCCCCCCGGCACCGAGCCGGAGACCTCAGGCCACA